ATCTAAATTATTTTAAATATATAATCATAAACCTTACGTAGATTTATGGCGATGATAAAATTAGGTTTGCTATTTTTTTTTCATTTTTATAGCTCTTGCCCTACTCTCACTTAAGGTGTGCCTCACTATATTTATGAATTAGTAAACCCTAAGATAAATACAAGTTTAGGATAAGATTAAGGGTGAAAGACTTGGATTTTTGTGGTCACTCGACAATTACCGGTAAAAGTGGGTGACATGGACGGTGTCAATATTATATTTATTTAAATAATCAAGGACCAGACAAGCTATTTATTTAATATTAAAGTTCTCTCTTTTGGCATGTAAAGTATTGGTTTCGGTACATCTCTGATGGACCGACCCTTCATATTCTTTCTCCCCCCGGGTATTTTATGGTTTATTCGTTAAGGTTCATTTATTTATGTCCCATACATATTTATTTAACATTTTAATTAACTTTCTCGTATACTATGTTATAGTACAATGTATTCGTATGCATGTTCAAATTAATAAACATGTACAAAAAGCTTGTACAGCAATCGACCATGCTTCTCTTTGTCAAAAGTTTATAAAACTCTCTTTGTCACTTTAATTTTATTTGCAACAATTAAAAAGTTACAAAGAAAAAAGCTTAGTCTCAATGAAACATTTCAGGACCATGAGCATTCTTTTTAACCAGCTGTTAGTACGGAATCGGGTAAAACTCATAAGGTAATATATAAATGGTAATTAAATAATAGTTGGAATTAGGGATGTGCACTCAATCCGAACCCGACGGTTCTAACCCGATCGGATCGGGTCAGATTTTTTTAAATAAATTTTGGGTTCGGGTCGGATCGGTTTTTTTAAATGTACTATTCGGGTTTGGTTTTGGATTTAGGGTAAAAAACACGACCCGATCCGACTCGAAAAATATATAATTTTACCTTATATATTTAAGAATAATTACAATAATACCCTCTATATATAATTTTTTTCAATTAAGTCAGTTTTTATTGAATAAAAATAATTTTTTTGTTATTTTGGGTCGGGTCGGATTTCTAAGTCATATATTCGGGTCGGGTCGGCTAAAACCTTATTTTGGTCAGGTCGGGTCTCAGGTGGAGGCTCCTTAGTTCTCGGGTAGGGTCGGGTGGACCAAAAACCCGACCCATGTCCATCCCTAGTTGAAATATAATTATCTTAATAATTAATCTGGAGTGAATATAAGATAACATATTTTTTAATATTTAATTTATTTAATTTCAGAATTAAAATATTTAAAAAGTAATTAAACTCAAATATTAAGAAGAATCGATATTAAAATTGATTTCATGGTTTGAAGGACGTGTAGTTACTTTCCTACAAATACCACCTTTGGAACAAAAAGAAGGTGGTTTTATAAAATGGGTTTTCGTTGCTTTAATTACCTTTTCCCCCTTGATTTTGGAATTTCCTTGCATCGTAAGGATTCCTTGTCAAATAATAATATTGAAAAACGAGGATATTTCCAACAAGGCCGGTGACAAATTTGGATTATTTTAATGGTTGAGATTCGCATCTGCAAAGCTGTAGGCCAATGGAAAGCTGACACTTTACAACCGACCATAGACTAGATCTGGAAAAGATGCCAAAAATAATGGAGAAAATAAAAATAAAAAGGTTAGGGTTTTAGTGAAGGAAAAAGAAAAGAAAATAAAAGTGGTCCATCTCACAATTGCTCACTGCTGCTTTTGGCTATCTTTATCCACATGATGCTAAAATAATTTGGAGGACCATTGCACTTGTATTTTGTTTTTAAAATCATCGTATGGATTCAAAAAATATCCTACATTATATTCAGATGTGAATAGATTATTAAACTCAAGCTCTTCAAGTATAATATTCTATAAAATTTAAAATAATCATATTTTAAATATATTTACATTTTTATAAAAAAAATAAATTAAAATTCGATCATTTCCCCCCATATATCGTACGTGTACTCTTAGGACACAGTCTACTGATAAATCATAATCCAGTTTCAACAAATGATAATTTACCCAATACTATCCATTGAAGAAAAAGAAAATTACGGAATACCCCACGTTACGAAAGGAAAATGGTAGTTAATTAACTACCAATGAAAGATATGCCTCCTGGCATCCAAATTCAAATGGGGCACCTCCACTTAAGCACGGGCATTGTCATATGATTAGCATTGTTAGTTCATGATATTATCGGTTAATCGACCTCTTAACTATTAAAAAAATAAGATTTTGTAAAAAGATAATCTTATATGTCATAATATTCTAATTTAAAATGTCAAAAGTATAAAAGATTAATACTTAATATATTGTATGTGCTATTAAAAAAATCCATTATCTGTAAAATATTTTTATTTCACAAGTAATATTTAAATATTATAACATATCTTACCTTCTAAACTATGTTTTTCTAATATCATATTATATATATATATATTGTTATCCTCTTCATTCTTTTAAGCTTTTACCATTATTAATTCGGATTGACTCATGTCACACAGATGATTTTGGTAGGTGAGTATTCCAATGAAAACTTTATATATACACAAGACCTCAATTTAAAACATACTTAAGGGATATCAAGTTTTTATCACTTGAACCAACATATCGATTGTATTTTATCTATTTAAAACTTTTTTAATTCTATCCACAATACATAAAATAAAACTTCAATTATAAATAAACTAATCAATTATCATCTTTAATAATAGGGTAAACTATGTTTCAATTTAATCAATCATATCACTCAACTATTTAAATGGTTCAATCAAGCCACTGGTCGTTAATTTTTAACAGATGTGGTGACGTGTCCGTTAATAAAATTGATATAATTATATGTTTAGTCCCTATTACTTATATATTATATTAATTTAGTCTTATATTTAATAAATTAAAATAAATTTAATTTTCAAGTCAAATTATACCATATGTCACCGTATCACTCTCGGATTGAAAGAAAACAAACCACATATAATATAAAAAGTACCAATCGGATTTGATCTAGGGTGGTGTAGGTTACCCAACAAGCCAAGGCCATTTGGTTCAAACCATTGAGCCATCTGATTTGAATAAATCAATTTAAAACCAATGTTGGTCTTGGCTCAATGGATCAGCACTTGTTCTCTTTTAACCATTGAGAATTATATTTTCTTCTAGCAATTTGCATGATTTATTTATATAGTATACTGGTTAAACATTCTTCTAGAAATTATATATTTTTTATTGTTTTTAATGTTTATTTCTAATTACCAACCCCATTAGAGAATTACTCAATGGTTCAGCCCTTGATCTCTTTCCCAAATGGCACTGGATCAATTCCCATTGCTAGCGCATTTGCATGATTCATTTTTTATATAGTTTACCAATTTGCATGATTTAATTTAAAATAAATTAAATTAACCGTGACACAAGAGCACTATTTGATTCTAGAATTAAATTTATTAATTGAATTAAAATAGTGACTAAATTGATAGAATGTGTAAATATTAAATACTAAATATATAATTATACTAATTTTATAAACGGACACATCACCACCTCCATTAAAAATTAACGGGCGGTGGACGATTAATATGACGGACCTTCAATTTAACCAACCCATTTCAAGGTTTTTTGAAAAAGCTTGCTATATTTGAATTGGGCTTCAAAAGTTTAAGCAAATGAATCAGAATTATGGGTTGCAATTTTGGGTGTTTAAGCCTCGATCTTTTTAAGAGGTGGATCCTCATAGTGGAGTGGACTGCTTGATTAATTTTTTTTACATTTTGTAATACTATAAGTAAAATTATTGAAGCATAGAGTATTCATGAACACAAGTGTTTTGACCCTAAAAAGAAAGCACAACTGCACCATTTACCATGCTCATTGTTTGCAAAAGAAAAGAAGAGATGATCATGCTCCTGCGTTGGTCATCTCATTATTAAAGTCTATGGCACCTTTGCCCCACACCAACGCGTTAGTTTAATCAACCCATACTTTATTTTCTAAACACCACCGTCACTTTCCTTCAAGTTTAACCGTGTCAATTTTTTTAAAAAAAAGTTTAATATATAAATCGAAATTAAATTTGTTATGTTTTGAAACAGGATTTCTTTGAAATTTTTGGAAACTTATTCTAAGAGTCTTTGATACCTCATAATATTCTCTTGGTTTGTTCAACGACGAATATATCTTTTTTAAGTTAGAAGACATAGAGTTTGCTTATTTATTACGCTATTTCAATTAATAAATTTAAATATTAAATTACATATTCAATTATTTCTATAATTTTATTTTGACATTCAATTATTTATTTTTAAAACCATCACTAAATTTATTTTTTATTTTGTTTTATCACAAACAATTAAAAATAATAAAACTATTGAAATTGTGAATTTTTTTCAATGATGATATGATGTTACTTTAATATCGCTGTCAACGTTTTAATATTGAGTGATAAAAATGAAATAAAAATACGTCTAATGATGATTTTAAAAAAGAAATAAGTAACTAAAAAAATGTGTAAGAATAATTAGATAATTAAATACCTAATTTACCCTATATTAAAAGGGAAAACACAGATGTAAAGTTGCCAAGCAACCACTTCCCCAACATTGCCCACTAATAACTATCGGATTTTCCTTACTCAAACTCACGTTAAAAAGAAAACATTTTATATTTTATAAAGTTTATTATATATTAATTTAAATTCAGAACTATTGTTTTTAAATTTTAAAAAAATGAACCTAATTCTATAATTGTAAATTAAATTAATTATTTAAATTCAAAAGTCAGATTTAAATCTTAAAATTATTAATATCTAGCCACTAAAGCAAGGATTGATAGTATCTTGGCATTAGAATAAAGAATGGTTAAAAATCTCGCTCATTCTCCATTAAGTAATTCTCTAATGGGGTTGGTAATTAGAAATAAACATTAAAAACAATTAAAAAAATTTAATTTCTAGAAGCCCGTTTAATCAGTATACTATATAAATCATTAAGTGGACACGAAAACAGCCCAGCAAATACTCCATTACAGTAGGGTCTTGTGAAATTTCCCCACCGCATAATCATGGCTAGACTTTTGCCAACCCTATCCACCCATTTCATCTTCTTCCTCTTCACCATTTCCATTGCTTCAGCTTTAGCAGATGAAGAGAGCTTCGTGCGAGCCGCGGACAGGAAGCTTTTGGGGCTTAACAAGAAGGAAAAGCTCAGCCACTTCAAGCTTTATTGGCACGACATCGTGGGAGGGCGAAACCCAACGGCGGTCCCCGTGGTCATGCCATCGAAGAACTCGTCGACGGCGTTCGGGATGATCAGCGTGATAGACGACCCATTGACGATGGGACCTGAAATGAGCTCGAAAATGGTGGGGAGAGCACAGGGGTTTTACTCCGCGACGTCTCAGCAGGAAGTTGGGTTGCTGATGGCCATGAATTTCGCTTTCATGGAAGGGAAATACAATGGGAGCACTATAACGATACTGGGGAGGAACACTGTGTTCTCGAAAGTGAGGGAGATGCCGGTGATCGGAGGGAGTGGACTTTTCCGGTTTGCAAGAGGCTATGTTCAGGCTAAAACTCATCGTTTTGATCCGGCTACCGGGGATGCTGTTGTTGAGTATAATTGTTATGTCATGCATTACTGATTAGCCTTCCTTTTTCTCCAAGTTTAGGCTTTGTTTTAATCGTCAGCTTGAATTATGTTTTTTTGATGGAATAATTACTTTCTTAATTGAGTGTACCTGTCGGCAAGTTAATGTTATTGCTTCCGAATGGTGGCCTTGTGTAATGCATGATTTTTACATTCAACTTCTCTTCCTCTCAAGTCAAGACAACAATGTTGCGCGCAACACATGGAACTTTTGATTAACCCCGTTTCTGATAACGTTATTTTAAAAAAAAATATTTTGTAAGATAAAGAGTGTTATGCTAAATACATATTTAAAGGTGTCTTGTAAATTTTACATCTTTTACTTATTTGACATTATAATCCCAAGTCAAAGTAAAAGACTTCATCCCCAAAAAAAAAATACTAAGAAATGTATTTACACAAAAATAGCCAAATGGACAATACATGGATATCAACATTGCTTTCAATTATTTAATAAATACATGTTTAAATGATTATATTTAGACACTTATTAAATATATTAAACAACATGAAATTTGAAAAATCCACGATCAAACATGTTGATTTTGAGCTTATGAAAAACATAAACTGAATTTGACTAAATCTCTATAAGTTGTTATCTTCTAAAATACTTGAAATCTCAAAATCATAAATTGTATTTGATTGTTGTACTAACATGAGCCTATTCAAATTCAAAACTCATATTTGACAACTCCAAATCAACATACAAGAGCTTTTCAAATACCATATCGTTTACATATGATTTTTGTATAAACTTTTAAGCATAAACTTTTAACCATACACTCATTGAGTGACTAAAGGCGAGGCTTATGCACATGCATTACCATTGTTGTTCGACCTGGTTCATGTTCGTGAAAAATTGAACATAATAATTATTTTTTTGGATAAAATTAAGATAATTTTTATTTTGGCACAACCTTTAATTTTAAAAGTTATGATATATTTGTGTCATATCAATAAAAGATTTTTTTACTAAAAATGCGTATTATATAATGTGTTTTTATTATAAAATATGAAACTAAGAATTAATATTTAATGAGGTTTGAGTAAAAAGTGGCTTTGGAATGTAGTATAGATGAATCAAGTTTAAGGGAATGGATGTGTCTTAATAGGCAATTAAGGAATCCACAGTGTGAGGAGCAGGTGAAGTCCTACTAAAACTTGTTTCAGAAACTTACAGGTGAAAAGCTGAATGATTAGCCTTGAAAGTGCAGAAGCTGAAGTTGGATGACTTTCAAGTGAAGTTTGAAGCATTTCATCATCAGCTGACAATCATAGTAATTGGTATGCCTCCTTTTTCCATTTCATATTGTATTAAACAATAAGTCGGTTCACCTTTCCTGCAAAGCGAGCATGTCATCTTAATGACCTCAAAAGGAGGCCCACAATTCAGATACAGAACATTATGCTTTGGATTGCAGTGCGCAGGCAGCCCTGTGATTTTGAACCCACAACTCTACACATAAGCCTTCGAAACAAACCCATCACCACGGTGCTACCAAAACTCAAATTCAGAACCAAGTTATTATTCTATATGTTTGTACATCATACTTTACTGTTTGAATTTAACACGATTTATGGTTTGTTTTTATTATTCCTATGTTCCGATTGCTTGCTGTTGGGAGCTAGCCACGTTCCCTTCTCTTTGCGGCCCTTTGAGGTGGCCTCTTAGTTTTAGTGGTTATGCCGCCTGTTTTGCTTCTCTTCGACGATTATACTCCATATCTATAAATATTTAATCTAATCGTTTTTCAATACTCTGAATTTTTCTTTACAGTTGACAACGCATATACAATGTAAACATAATTGGTCGAACCTAATACTTTAAAGGAGAACAACATCCTCTTTAATCACTAAAACCACTTAATGAATTCATTTAATCTATTTTAAATCAACACATTCAGTAATGTTAACATATATTATATTAGTGTAAAGCATATTACGGCCCTCTATCAAATGATTTTTACCATTAAGTTTTTTAAAAGTTACAAAATGATGGTTAGAATTTTTATTATATTATTCAACTTTACAAAATGAATAAATGATTATTACATTTTAAAATTATAAAATAATTATTAAATTTATTAAATTATTATAGAATAATTATTTTAATATTATAAACTAATTATTAAAATTATATTATAAAATAATCAATGAAAATTTTGAATTATTTTAAAAATTCAGATATTATTACTTTTGATGACGAATTATAATGCTTTTATTTAGCTGTGGTAATGTTCTTGAAAATAAATTTTAATATAATATTTAATTAGAAATATACTTGTAATTAAATGTAGGGTAAACTACGTCAAATACCACCAAAGTTTAAGTGTTTACTCGTTATACCACCAACGTTTTAATTTTATCAATTTTAGCACTAACATTTACTTTTAAGTGTAATTATACTATTCCGCCGTTAATAATTTAACAACACGATAACATGGTAGCTTCGTATCATGACGTTACTGACGTGGATGCCTAATCAAAATGACGTCGTTTTGAAACGACTGTTTTGATGCCTAATTAAAACGACGTTGTTTTGAAACGACTGTTTTGATGCCTAAAAATACAAAAACGTTTGCTTGAAAAGATTTTGTTAAATTTTGAGTTTAGTGGAATTTGACCTTTAAACCTTCAAAAATAAAGTCTAAAGTTTAACCACTCAACTAACTTAATATTTTGTTTAAATTATTACAAATGTAATATACATATCATACAGTTGATATTATTTATAATTTATGTTTTAAAACTAAAATAATATGTATAATAATATATATATATATATATATATAAATAATATGATAATATTATATAATATTTTTATATATGATTTATAATAATAATTATTATTATTATTTAAAAAACACTTAAAATTTTCAAATTATCCTAAACCCCAAAACCCTAAATACTAAATCCCTAATTTCACCAATTGTCGCCATAGAATCAATGGCCACTGCCCACCACTTTTGTCGCCAAACCCTTACCACCAATTATCCCACTCACTTGTCGTCGGAAATCAAAGAACAATGTGCTAATCGATCATCAAAATACTGAATATGAAATGTTCTAATCAAACCATGAACGACAATTAATCGACGAGTGAATGACGTGCATGATAAGAGGAGGAGACTTCAATCTGGTGGCAACAACATGCTATCAACGACGAGGGTTGATGAATTTAGGGATTAAAATTTAGGGCTTTTGTTTTTTTTCTTCTTCGGGAATTTAGTTTTTTAGGGGGTATTTTTGGGTTTTTAAAGGAATTTTAGGTTTTTTTTATAAAATTAATATTATTTATATCAACAAAACGACATCGTTTTAGGTTTTTTAGGCATCCTCATCAGCAACGTTACGACACAGAGCTACCATGTCATCGTATTGTTAAATTATTAATTGCGGAGTGGTATAATTACAATTAAAAATAAACATTAGTGTTAAAATTGATAAAATTAAAACGTTTGTGTATAAATGAATCTATGCTTAAAGTTTGATGACATTTGACGCAACTTAGTGCGTTTGGTTCACGGAATATAAGAATACCGGGAATAAAAGATTACCAGGGAATAGGATTACTGGGAATGTTGTATTTTGTGTTTGGTTGGTTTAGCAATAATGTAAGATTACCGTATTTGATTAAAGGAATAAAAGATTATTGGAATGTATATTTAACCAAATTGTCCTTATTATATATTTGTTTTTTAACAAGTTGAAAAATATTTATATATTTTCTTTAAAAAATTTAAATTCATAAAATTTATATTTCTTTTACAATATAAAAAGGTTTAATGAAAGGGTAAAATTTTATTTTAACCCCTGAATTTCATATAAAATTTTAATTATAGATTTTTTTATAAATCTAAAATAATTTAAGGATAAATTTGTAATTTACCTTCGTAGAATTTTTATTATTCAATGACAAAAGAAGAATATTTTTAAAAGAAAAAAAATTAAGGTCATTTTAGTCCAAAACGCCGATAATCCAATAATACCTAAAAGAAGGGAGGTAATGACATTCCTGGTAATATACCCAAAAGTTCACTATGGTAATAAAATATTACCGGGAATGACTTTCCCGACCAATCAAACGAAAAATGTGGATTTCATTTCAATGATAATCTCACATTCCCGAACCAAACAACTCTTAAATTTAATAATTTAAGTTGAAGGGATCCTTAAATCACCCTATGTATCAACAGGTCGATTTGTTTGGGTTCAACCGAGATATTATTATGGAACTGGAGGATAAAGCGGTGCGTCAATTCCCTTTCATCGGCAGCTGACGGCATTAGCAAATCCCGTTTGTTTTGTCCTTCACCTATCTATCTCTATCCACAACACTACAATACTGAAAGAAAAGCCAAAGCCAATGCTCTTCCATTCTCAAATCCTTTTCATTTAACAAAATCCCATCCCCATTTCCCCCTTGATTCAGTCATACTGTGAAACCCCAAAATTCGCAGCTCCATTGTTCTACAAATACAAGGTCAACCCCCCAACACCCCTCAAAACAAATCGAGAAATGTTACCCTCTCTCGTTCAGAGCAGCTTCCTTTCACCTTCAACACCCTTCTCCAAAATCTACTCCAACTTAAACCCTCTAAAGCCCTCCTTTTTACTCCCCAAATCCCTTTTCCCCATCTTCACTATCGTACCTTCCCACAAAACGTCATCGCTCTGTCTCCCACCCAGATATGCTACTTCCATTCGTGCTTCCATGCTTGAGTCCCCCGTGGTCTGGGCTAGTCGCCTTTGCATTTACTACGCTCTTTTGAAGTCTGGGTTAGCTGGATCTCAGGCTAACCCACTTGTCTCAGGTTATTATTCTACATATTATATCCAGATTTTCTTATTTTTGAACTACTTTCTGATGATTCTTTTTTGGGTTTTAATTTCTTTGTTACGCGTTTTCATTGGTTAGGGCTGGAGGGTGGTGAAACTGTTGGGGAGAGTGCTGATTTGGGTTTCTCTAAGTGGTTGGAGAATATACGTGGGAGACCAGGTTAATTTATGGCCTTTTCTTTATTTACCTACCAACATTATCAATTAGTTCAAGCATATTGATGAAAATGTTTTTGCCAGTGTAAGATCAAGATCAAACGTTAATTGTTCAATTGTTTTCACGTTTGAGATGTGCAAGTTCAACGAAACATATAAATAAATCCTGTTAGGGTTTGAGCATCAATGCACCAATTGTTTCTCATGCTCAGGGTTTATTGTATTTCCATTTTGTGATCAATCAATCATAAAGATAAAGGAGTACCGATAACTATGAACTTGTGGGAAGGATTAGCTGTAGTTTTGAGTTTACAAACCTGTGGAATGGCTTTATTCGGCAGTTTGTTGTTGTTTCCATGAGCATTGCTAGTGAGAAGTTGCTGGACACTTATTCTTGTTTTAAAATAGTTGATCAAACAAACCTTTTAGACATTATACCTCTTGCGGCTGATAAGAGAACCGATTACAACACATAGATGTTCTACTTTGATTTTAAAATGTTAGAATTGCTTGGCATTTGCAGTTGTGAATGGTATTTTAAAACTTAACGAAATTTGAGGGTGCGAGAGTAACGAAATTTGAGGGTGCGAGAGTTCTTTTTTTGTGTCAATCTATGACAAGAATATTGATGTCAGTAAGAAGAAAAACAACAGTAATCAAAAGAAATAAGGCTGAACAAACGAGTAGGAAAGATTAACTCAAGAAAAACTTAGGGCTAAGGGAACCTGTAGTTTTCTTTTAATTCAAAGAAAATAATAACGATAAGTTGCAATACAGATTGAACACTGATATTAAACTGTTAAATGCACATGATAAGTAGCATTCTTAGGGACTCGGTCGTTTAGCATTGCTATTGGCGCAGCTTTTAACCTTTAAAAGCTAAATGAGCAAAAATATTTGGCTGCTGCAATTAAAACTTCTTCAAATCATGGTAATACTTAGCTTTGTTATCCTTGTAGACAAGGAAGCGGCAGATAAAAGAAAGTTGGTGAGCAAATGGCATCCAACCACAAAAGGGACACTTAGAAGAAACTACAGGGTCCCTTCCAAATCGGAAGGTCGACGACTACTTAAAGCAGTTGCATCCCTTCTCTCTGATGATGATCATTTCACTGATGCCACTTCCCACAAGGTAATAATAGAAGTCTATAACAATAGTTTTATCACTATCCTTTCGATATTGGATACAGCATGGAATCACATAGTTTTGAAACATTGTATTTGTCTTCAGGGTTGCCAGATAAGGAGGGAGAGTGCTCACGGTGAAAGTGTATGCTGCAACAACGTTAGAGCTCTGTTTGACGAGCTTCCTACTCCTCATCTTACAGTCGAAATCACTCCTTTTCCGGCAGGCCCTCTCACTGAAATTGATTACATCAAGGCTGAGAAATTGGAAAGGGTTCTAAGGTCTGGCCCTTCTGTTTAAAAATTGTAAGCGCTCATTTCGAATGTATTATGTACATATTTAGAATCATGAACAGGAACTGAAGCTCAAACTGCTTTTGGCCTTTCTATTTTCACAACTTGACAATGAGGAAATGAGAAGCAATGCACGGAATTTTTAGAGGCATTGTTGGTAATCTAAGTATTATCTTTGATATTCAAGTTTATTTACTTATTTTGCATATTTTAATTATATTAAATATCCAAATTCACTGTCCATTCCTCCTATGGCAAACATGACCCAACTTATGTTTCATTACTTGATGACCACCATAACTACATTGACAAAAGGATATGAAAGCATAACGCATGAAACACCACGGAAAACAAAAAGATTGAAACATTTGACCTAAAAGCTGATTAGGGTTATTCAATGATTGACAACAAGCTCCCCATTTTTCTTACTGGCACTGCTCCAATCTTGGTTGTGCCTGAAAATCCATCTCCATCCCTTGAAACTTTTTCTACTCCTTTTTATCCCTCTTTCATTCACGGTTACCCTACATGAATCACCACAACAAAAGACCCCATTATCACAAACCAAGCCATTCTTAATCGAATTAGAACCGCAATCGACAGCTCCCCTCATGCTGCCAAAAGCAGGGGTATCGATATCTCCTTTAGATTCCAATGGGAACTCGAATTTCAAGTCGATGAAGCCCGAATCATCTCCACCGGTGAAATAACTCTCTCTAAGAGAGAAGACACGCCTGTTTGATGCACTGAAACCAGCAGCATCAAGATCCAACACTCCACCCCCAGATTTTCTCATTGCTTTGATATCAACAGCAACATCGGACTCCACGAAAGCACTGTCTTTTCTATCAGTGTCGAACCCGCTTTTCATCGGCTCTGCTTCGCTGAACCCGCTTTTCCTTTCGGGATCAACACACAGACCACCGTTCACACTCGAACTCCGAGCAGCCGAAATCGAAGAACTCCTCGCCCCCGAAAAGCTCATCGAGTCACCTCCATCTTCCGAACCGAAGAACCCACCTCCCCTAAAACTACACAGAGACCTTGACCTTGACACGCCATTGTAATCAACGACCCACAGATCGTTCTTCTCGTCTATCACCCCTTTGTCTCTCTTCTTCCTAAACAACCTTCCGAATCTCCAGAACCCATTCTTCCTTTTGATCTCAACGCAGCTACTGCTACTTCTTTTGAGAAAGATAGCATCTTCAGATTTATCTCTACTATTGCTTTCGTGCTTCGGATTGAGAAGAGATTGGTCCTTGTTCTCATTCTCTATCAAGAACGAGACACGACCAACGCTGCCCACTTCACCAGTGCATGATGTACGAGGGTTGGAGGAGATCTCAGAGCAGGAACATGAAGACAGCCGCTGCTCTCCACAATCCGAGCAAACCAGCTTCACTAAACGATCCTTGAGACAATAAGCACATATACCAACCGAAGATGATTGTGGATGTTTCTTACAAGGAAGATCCGATGAAATGCTATTGTCTTGGACGAAACTGTTGCTATATACTTCCACAGCTTTGCCTTTCATGGTTAGAAACTGCGATTTTGTAAGGAGAACAACAAAGGGCTATAAAGATCAAAAAGCTAAGCTTCTTCAATGGAGGAAGAAAATCAAAAGCGAAAGCTTAAAACTTGACGGCAGATATATAGAAAGAAAAGAGATGTGAGGGGAAAAGGTGGGATTTTTCAAGCATGCAAGTTAAGTAGACGAAATTGAAAGGCAAAGACATGGAGAAAGCGTTACCTTTACGTTTTCTTTGCAAAGAACAGTGATGGAGCAGAAAAAAGAAGAAGCAGTGATGTCAGTTGTTTCTGTAGGTATGATTGTGAAGGGGAAACTGGGAAAGTGACTGCAACACCAAATGTTGAGTAAAGGCAGTGAAACGATAGACTGCAAAAAAGAGCTAAGATAGGCGTACAGAGCTTGCTTCCATTGATGTATAAATCTCTTCTTTCTGCATGCAAATTGTACCTTCCACTGCCATTTATATATCACGCTGTGGTAGATTACGCAACAGTGATCGTATGGCGCAAATCCCATCAATCTGTCATTAGTTTTCGTCAACCTTTTAGCCATAGATCTTCTTCACTATTCTCTCGGGTTGACTAAAAAACCTAATTAATATACAGTTAAAAAATGACGTCACCAAAAATTTAATAAGATAATTAATAAATCGATAAAACGCTGACTATTATGTGACAGACTCGTAATATTGTACGTATAAAATATGAAAAATTATTAAAAATTTTGGTAACCGATAATTTTTGATTATCAATAGGTATCTGTACATATATATAAGTGTTCATATTTATTTTATTGTGAAAAACATTAATTTAGGGTTATCTTTTGAGTGAGTTAAGATTTTAATTTAATAATTATACACGTTTAATGATTTATTTTTATGTTACGGTATATATTATTATTAAATTAAAAATAATAAACATAGATATTACATATTTATTATTATCATTGATTAAAATTATTAAATTAAATTCTAAATAATATTTTATAAAATATATAAACAATTAAACAATTTTTTTATGTAAATAAAATTATTAAATTAATATTATTGGTGGAAAACATGAAGTACTATTAAAAAAATTTGAAATATAAATTACATAACTTTCAACAAAGTATCGATACATATACAAAAAGTATCAATACTTTTAACATATTCGGTAGCTCTTTACCGGTTTTGTCACAATGAAACTGGTTTTGTCATATTTTTACATGTTATATTGTTATGTATTGATACATTTTTATAAAGTATTAATACTTTTAACATATCCGATAGCTCTTTACCGGTTTTGTCATATTTTTACCTGTTATATTGTTATGTATCGATATATTTTTATAAAGTATCGATACTTTTAACATATCTGGTAACTCTTTGCTAGTTTTGTCATAATGAAACTGGTTTTGTCAGGTTTTTATCTGTTATATTTTTATGTATCGATACATTTTTATAAAATATCGATACTTTTAACATATCCGGTAGCTCTTTACCGGTATTGTCATAATGAAACTGGTTTTGTCATATTTTTACTTGTTATATTGTTATGTATTAATACATTTTTATAAAGTATCAATAGTTTATAGGCACTATTGCTGCTTTTCTTTTAAATTCCAAAAGTGTCGATACTTATTTAAATGAAATCGATACTTTCAACATATCCGGTAGGTAGTTTAATGTAATAGGTAGCGCCTATTTTTTTACCATTTACATTATTAGCAACCTTCAAAAAAACTAGTAGGTATTTTAATGTGATAGGTAGCGCCTATTTTATTTTACCGTTTACATTATTAGCAACCTTAAAAAAAATCAGTAGGTATTTTAACGTAATAGGTAGCGTCTATTATTTTTACCATTTACATTTTTAGCAACCTTAAAAAAAATCGATAGATATTTTAATGTAATAGGTAACACCTATTTTATATTTCCTGTTAAATCATATAACATTTACGATATAGATTTTAATCAGTCACTTGTTTAACTAGTCACATTTTTTTTAACCTTTTTTAACCGCCTCACAGCAGAACTTTCCCTTCTCTCGTGTTTGACTTTTATAATGGCTTAAAATGCTTTCCATACAATAACAAACAATATTGGAAATTATACGTAATACGCAAATCTTAATTACAAACGATAAAGGGTCAAAGACACTAAACTAAGCCAGGTGTGGTCGTATTGATTTGTCCACATTAATGTGCAATGCAGCATGGTTCATTGAGACATATATTGTTATAACATCACTTTCTTTGTAGATCTTGAGCTGCATGGACATGGAGATGGAGGCCTAAATTGTTTGGCATTTTACTTTTTGGAATTTTGTGTTGGGAGATAAAAGAGACCGTGACATGCTAGATTACATGGGAAATGGGATACATATTATTAAATAATTGGATATTAATATTTATTAATTTTAATTGTTTGTTTGATCAATAAAGAATTTAAAATCTTTTAAATAAGAATGATTATGTATATGCGTAGGTGTAGGTACATAAATAGAAGGAAAAAGATTGATTGTTGGTGGACTTTACAAGTGCCACGTTTCATCAACTTCAAATGTTTGCCCCTTATAACGTGTCGTGCTTAATCACCCATTCTCTTCGTACTGTTTTTTCATCACTCTATCCAAAACTATCAAAACTTTTTATTCATTCTTTTATTTTGGGTAAAATTCATATAAATTCATTCAATCATTAATTCAGTTACAAATTGGTCACTTTTAGAAATTATTTAGTCACAATTAAAATCTGATTTATAAACATGTTGTTGACGTTAAAATTGAAACATGTGTATAATATAATATGTTATAATAGTAATTTTAATCTTTCAAATTTATATATTTTAATGATTTGATTTTCATTTAAAACAAGTTAATAAATTTGACATCTCATATTTAAAAATTTCATCAATTTAATTTTTTTTGTGATATTGACAAACCAAACAAATTTATTAAATCAAACTAATAGTTGAATAATTGTAGTATACCATAAAGGAATAACAAGATACTATTACATTGTTACTATATCATAAAAGTAATAAGAAAACAATAGAATATTTTTAAGAGAAAAATAAGTAATTTTAAAAAAAATAAATTAATAAAATTTTTAAAATTAAATTTATTGGAAGTTTTAAATTAGGATCAAATTAATATAATATATATGTTTTATAACAAGATTCTTATTATGTTAAACAATATCATTATTTCGTCTAATATATAATAATCATTTACTTGTTTATAATAATATTTTAATTAAATAATTAAAAGATAACTTTAAAAATAATAATTTATAATTAAATAACCTAAGTGTAGGTTGTCCTTTAATTTTATCTTTGGAAAGAGAAATAATATTTTTTCCCTAAAAATTAAAACGAGGTACTGATTCTCATAACAGTTAACATAGTGATAATTTGTTTGAAGTAAAAGATCCCTTACATATATAACGAAGAATCCCTGAGGTAGAGTTTGGTTCGCTGTAATGTTTCTGAGGGAATTAAAATCTATGAAGGAATTGAAATCTGTAGGAATTGAAATTTGTAGGAATTGAAATCTGAAACCTATTTGATTGATAGGAAATTGAATTAGAATCTAATTCCATATTCTGTTTGGTTCGCAGACATGTCAGATGAATTTGATTTAAATAATATAAAATGACAAAATTATCCTTATTGTTTTTTTTCTTAATTTTAGTTTGTTTTATAACTTACATGTAACAATCTATTATAAAAATTTTAAAAATATGAAATTTTCATTTTATTGATTAATTATTTATTTTAATAAATTATAAAAATCATACTAATAAACATCATAAGTTAAAAGAGAAAATAACCTCAGTGACCAAAAATCCCAGATAATATACGATTTTGACCAACATTTTTTGGATTTGCGAAAATGACCAACAAAATCGCAATGCGATCTCTAATTCGCATTGCGATCTCCACTATCGCAAATTCGCGTTGCGATTTTCCATTTCGCGTTGCGATAGTTGAAAATCGCGTTGCGATAGTCTACAGTTGTGGTTGCGATTTTCCAAATTCGTTGTGATAGTTAAAAAAAAAGATTTTGTTTCTTAAGAATCTTCTCTAAATAGATAGTATCCGCGCGGACGTGTCGAAGACACGTATTACCACGACCACGACCACGACCACGACCACGAGACGAGACGGCGGCGGCGGCGCGCGAGAGTCCCCCTTGTTCTCTATCACTCAACAAGGAAGTGGGAAAGCCAAGCCTTAAATACCATTTCCAATAGTATTTCCAATACTATGTGGGATTTGAGCATTACCAACACTTGTTCCCAATACTATGTGGGATTGAGCCTTAAATAGTGATATTATTTTTGAATGTTTTGCTTAAAATTACAATAATCGCGATTGATTGTAGATTGACTTTTAATTATGACATATTTAATCGTATAATACTAATGTAATTGGTTGTTGATTCAGTTGTTTTAAGGTGCATGATTGTTAATTGTTTCCTGAATAATCACATTGTATTGGAAACAAGTGTTGGTAATGCTCAATCCCACATTGTATTGGAAACACTGTTGAGAATGGTATTTAAGGCTTGGCTTTCCCACTTCCTTGTTGAGTGATAGAGAACAAGGGGGACTCTCGCGCATCGCCGCCGCCGTCCGTCTCGTCTCGGTTCGGGTCGGGTCGGGTCGGGTCGTGTCGTGGTCGTGGTCGTGGTCGTGGTCGTGGTAATACGTGTCTTCGACACGTCCGCACGTATACTATTTTTTTAGAGAAAATTCTTAAGAAACAAAATCTTTTTTTTCAACGAATTTGGAAAATCGCAACGACAACTGTAGACTATCGCAACGCGAAATGGAAAATCGCAACGCGAAATGGAAAATCGCAACGCGATTTTCAACTATCGCAACGCGAAATGGAAAATCGCAATGCGATTTTCAACTATCGCAACGCGAATTTGCGATGATAGAGATCGCGTTGCGATTTCAACTATCGCAACGCGAAATGGAAAATCGCAACGCGATCTCTAACTATAGCAACCCAA